AGGGCCTCTGCCCTTCTGTCCCCTGTCAGCCTAAGTAGATGCTTTCGTTAGGGCCAATGCGGCAGAATTTAAGCTCCAATCATAGTTTCATTAAATTTGTAAGAATCATTTCCTCAAGCTACAAATCAGAGCTGTATCCCTATAAACCAGTGCTCCTAGAGACGTAGAAGAGGTAAGAGATGGTTTTCTTCCTCCCCAGAGTTTCCTTTCATGTTTACAGGAATGTTACTTAAGTAGCAGCCTATGTGTTCTGGAATATGAGGTTTTGTGGAAAAGTTTCTCTTAGAAATACAGCTTAGGGTGCCTGGGTGGCTCAGTCGGTGAAGCGTCTGCCTTCAGCTCAGGTCATAATCTCAGGGTTTGGTGATCAAGCCCGGCATCAGCCGCATTGGGCTCCCTGCTCCGTGGGAAGTCGGCTTCTCCCTCTGCCTCTCCTCCTGGCTTGCGCTCTCTCTCTTTGGCTCACTCTCTATCTCTCTCAAAAATCAATCAATCAATCAAATCTTAAAAAAAAAAAAAAGAAAGAAAGAAAAGAAATACAGCTTATGCTTTGGATGGGGGCTACATCCTAACTTTCCTAGAAGCTTATCATACCTCTGCCTCCTGACCCACCTGCCAGTCTACATAGTTCTTGCTGTAGGATTCTTCACCAGCACAATGGCTCAAGGAACCTCTCAGCACTGCTACGTAGTCAGGCCCTCAGGTCCTTTCCAGGTGAGGGGAGGGGAGTGGCCAGTTGGCAGAGAATACCAAAGAAAATACATGAACCATGATTCTGAGTATCAGGGTGTCCACTGGAAATGTTGTGGGCTTGGAACTGGGTTATAAGATGTCCCCTTCAAAGTACAAAAGAAGTTCTACAAAGGAGTACCCCAGGGAGAAGATTGAGTTGTAGTGTGCTTGTTGCTTAGGCCATAGTCATGTTTACACTGTCCCAGCTCTAGTCACACTCATCACATTTACTTGTTAATGTACTGTGCCTTTGTACATCATGTCCCTGTCTAGAATGCCCTACTCTCCCTGACCATCTCCTCGCCCTAATTATGACAAAATCCCACTCAGCCATCAGTCCCCATTCAAATAGCACTTCCCCTATGAAGTCTTCATTGGCTAACCACCAATCAACAAATAGCATTCAGCTCACCAAGCTCCATAGGAGTGAAGTTTAAAACTTCTCTTTGTCCTCTTTTTATCAGAATGGAGGAAGAAAAACCCAGCAGGAATGGCAGGAGACCCCAACATTTAACACCGCTGATATCCAGGAACAGGGTAGGTTCTGGGAATTTTATTCTCTTAATAATCGTCCTGTCCTCTTTAGTTCTCTCATGAGCAGAGCAGCATGGAGTTCTGAGTCTGGGCACACTTGCTGGGCAATGTGTCTTGCTCCCGTGGAGATGCCTGTTGGCCATCCTCCGGGTCCGGGGGCCTGTCCTTGAATAATAAAAGCTCCCCAACCCCCAAGAGAAGCAAAGGGAAACAATGCATGTACTTCCTGTGCTTCTGATGGTGAAAATGATGCTCCCACTATTTGAAAACATTTCTACATGGAGTGATAAGTTTTGCAGAAAAGTTGGGAGGGATGTGTTTCACTGTTTTGAAGAGTTATCTTTGGGAAGCTGTCTCTCCCCCTCTTCCCTTCAGGGCATTAGTGTTAATATTGAAGGTGCAGTGGATGCTTGGGAGGGGCTGGGAATGCATGTTAAGGTAGTTGTCTAGCGTAAGGATTCGGTATGGACCGTAGTCCTCACAGATGCTGGGATGTCAGCATGTTGAGTTCTTCAACAAGTCGTCATTCCATGAGAAAACCATCTGTGGTGGGTGGCTAGGACTTGAGCAGTGTAAAAAATCTCAGGGGCCCAACTAAAAATATTCCAAGGTTAGAATAACATCTCCTGAGCTGAGATGAAACTGGGAAGGTCAGAACAAACAAGTCTTGGTGTGAGGCTGTCCTTGGTCCACACTATGTCCCATGAAAGCAGCCCGCAAACTAACACTTTTTCCCTGTTTTCCTCTCAGATTCTAAGTGGGAGGACAGCCTCGCTGAGCAGATCATCCCCCCACTGCAGCAAAACAATCCACCTCCACCTAAAGGACCCCCAGAGCTGGGAACCAGTGGCTTCTTTGGGTTTCTAAGGTAGGACAGGTGTCGCTTTTACCATCACACTGAGACCCAGGGCAGTCCAGCTCCAGAGTCGGCCTCGTGGAGTCTCTCAGGGAAATTAGAAAAGAAAACAGATTACCTGCATAATCTCTATTTCCCCCAGGATATTTGAGGGAAGTGAGACTCTGCACAAGGGCCCTAACTGAATCTAATAAAGACTGTGTCTTGTTCAGTCTTACACAAACCGCCCCCCGACAATGTGCCTGGCATTGGACCTCATTCCACAAATGCTGCTTGGACAGAGACTAGTCTTATCGTTGGGTCATTCGGACTCTTTGGTTACCAAAATGCTTCCATTCTCCCCCTCTGCATCTAGGCTGTGTCTTCAGAGTCCTTTCTGCAGAAGATAGTCAGCAGATCCCTCTCTCTCTATAGCTCAGCCGCCCCATTGCAATTCTCCTTCATCATGCCCCACTCCTGAGTATAAGCTAACTTGGGTACCTTTTCAAATGCGGCTCCGGAGTTGAATCCATACAGTGATTCCCCAAAGCAAAAATGCCCTCGTTAATGGAGCCTTAATGGGACTGGGAGAAGGGAGGGACCTCCCGAATCTCAAACCATTCTGCTCTCCTTCCCACAGCTCTCTCTTCCCCTTTCGCTATTTCTTCAGAAGGAGCAGCCAGTGAGCCTTCCAGACGCAGCAGGGGAAGAGTGTCCTCTCGCACTGACTTTTCACATTCCGTCCTCTGTCATGGGGAACACGGGCTCCAAACTCCCGGAGTCCCCTTGTGGGTTTGTCCTATCCTTTGCCCCTTTACAATGGATTTTTTTTTTTTTCAATTTAAAACACTAAGAAAAGAACTTCCTAAAATGTTCCAGTCTGAGAACTGTACTTCTCTAAGGGCCAGTTTAGGTCTTTCATCTCCAGCACTTAGGATCCTAATGAAAATAAATTATTTATGAAGAGTTATTGACTGAATTTCATGAAGTAGAGAGAGAGCAAACTCTTCCCTGAAGATGCAGGGAAGCAAAGCCTGAAGCCTCCCCCTGGGTCTGCCTAGTTACTGTTGGGGGGATGCTTTGGGTGGGTGGGGTCCATACCCGACTACAAACCTTAGCCTTAGCCTCCGCACCAGGGCTTAGAGAATGGGGTCTTAGAAGACTCACTTTCCTGAGCCCTGCTGACCCTCAAGATATCATCTATCCCAAATTCACGCAGTTTGGCCCCAGAGTACACTCTCAGGAGATAAATGCTTTCCATTCACCTATCCCTCTGGCTTTTGACAGTAAAGTAAAATAAAGCTTCTCAGATTAACTGCAAGTCGGCCCGGGTTGGGGCTGCTAGAGAAGACCGGGGCACCCAAGCTCTGACTTCACGTAACCCAAGGGCTGATCTGGGACAGACAGGTTAGACTTGCGTTGTGTGGCCACAGATCAAATAGATGGGAATTTAGGGAAACTCAGTTTAGCTCAGAACAAAGGAATCTGTTATAAATATCCAGTATTAGAATGGGCCACCTTGTGAGATAATGAGTCCTTGTCACTTCTAGTCTTTAAACAGAACTGATGATCTGTCAGATGCTAGGTTTCTGTGATCAATGGCAGAATTGGGGCTGGAATGTTGAAGTCCCTTGGGGTCTCCTTGTTTGGCCGCGTTACCGTGGATGGGGAGAAGACCTGGCTGGTGTAGACAGGCCCAAGTCCTGAGGGGAGAAGGGCCAAAGGGGAACTGTTGAGTTTATAGCCTTTGTCCTACGGTACCGAACATGGCCTGCGTTGCAAAGCTGCTGAAAGGCACAACTCCAGGATCTAGAGATCCAAGCGCCACTCTGACTCCGACTAGCTTACAGTGAGGCCTTGGCAAAGTCACTTTCCTCTCTGGTTCAGACTTTCTCATCTGAACAACAAAGGGGTAGGATTCAGTGAGCTCTCAGGCACCTTCAAGCTAGGGTGGTGTGTGTGGCTGGCCCTGCGTCTCTGAATCAGTCAGTGAGGCAGTGGCCCTGGGGTGTGGAGGGCCAAATCACCACCGGCTTCTTTCTGATCTCTGCCGTGCCCTAGCCCGTGCAGCTACTGTTGACCAGGGATCTTTTCCAACTTGCCCCATTCTTGCCCCAAGTGTAATTTAGCACCAGGTATGGAGAGCAGCTTGGATCTGACATTGACTGTGTGACCTCTGGTAGCTTTCCTTCTCTAAGCCTTCGCTGCTTTACCTGTAAAACCAGAGCCAGAGCCGGACTGGACGACGGGCTTTGCTGGGGTTGACAGCTTCAGACTGTTCCAGGAGTCAGGTCCCTGTTATTCCAGGGTCAAGGGCGAGCCGCACTCTGTGGCTGACCCCCAGGATGACAAGTGAAAATGAAGCTTTGAAACGGACTTAGAACCCCCCATCTCCCCAGTTCTGCCTCCCAGCGTATTTCAGGAGCCCCTTACTGGTGTCAGTTCCTTTGTCCTTAAAAACATCCTCCCAACCCTTTTCCTGTGCAGTGGATAAGGGACAGGCTTAGTAGCTCTAGGGTTGGGGTGGTAAGGCCCCGAACAGGGGCGTGTCTTGCCCAAAGTCACGCAGCAGAGAAGAACCCTGGCGGCCACAACTCAGCCCAGGCTTGATCCCTCTCTCCCCAACTGCACATAAGCTGTCCACTCCACCAGCTCCCGGGCTTTTTTCCACATCTCACTTCCCCCAGCCCTGGACCTCGGGCGCAGAAAGCCGCAGCAGCCACTCTCTGAGGACCACACCTCAGAGAAGAGCTGCATCTCCCAGGTGGGGTTGCTCTGAGGCCTCTGCCCGGGAGGCAGGCCTGTAAGCTGATCCCCAAGAGGGCGTGGCTCCAGACGCCGGCAAATAAAGATCCAGAGAGCCGAGCGGTCCGGAGACGGGCGGAAGATCTGAGGAACCCATTCGGCGAGCCACTCAGTGCCTGGGCCTCGGAAGTGGTAAGCCCCCTGAGGCAGCAGGAGCCCCGGGAGGGCCTGGGGCCTGCAGATGGGGCAGATGGAGGGGAGGCCAATGTTTGTGCTCCAGATGGTAGAAGAGATTCCGGGGGAGAACCACTGCAGTGGGCTGACAGCTGCTCACACTCTCGCCCATGCACCCAAAGGCAAATAGAGGAAAAGACAGCCCCACTCCCGGGCTTGCCTCACCCCAGTCAGGAAAACCAGCCTAACTCTGGCTCCTTCACCTGCAGGCACACAGTAAAGGACTGGCCCTCCCACCTGCACACTTGTCCAGAGACCGCTCTTTCAGATCCCCATGGCATCCTCCCAAACGCTGCTCCTCTGCCTGCTGGTCCTGGCAGTGATGGAAGGTTGGGGTCGCCAGGCACCCATCCCAGGCTGCCACCTGCACCGTGAGTAACCCTGGGAACAGACAGCTGGGTGGGAGCAGAGAGCTAATGCATGGGACGGAAGGGCGGGCAGCACCCTCCATGGACCCACCCTGAGGTTCCGGCGACAGGAGCTAGGCTTGGCTTCGCAGAGGCACTGTCTGCCACTCGCCTGTCTCCTTCTAGCCTTCAATGTGACAGTGCGAAGTGACCGCCAAGGCACCTGCCAGGGCTCCCATGTGGTACAGGCCTGTGTGGGCCACTGTGAGTCTAGCGCCTTCCCTTCCCGGTACTCCGTGCTGGTGGCCAGTGGCTATCGACATAACGTGACCTCCGTCTCTCAGTGCTGTACCATCAGTGGCCTGAGGAAGGTGAGAGAGCCCAGCCCAGTAGTGGCTCTTTGGGGGCGGGGAGAGACAGAAGAGACGGGGATCAAGAAGGCCCAAGAATGGATGGAATGGATGGCCACATGAGTGGAACACGGGTCCCCCTCCCCCACAGGTGAAGGTGCAGCTGCAGTGTGGGGGGGACCGGAGGGAGGAGCTGGAGATCTTCACGGCCAGGACCTGCCAGTGTGACATGTGTCGCCTCTCGCGCTACTAGCCCGTTCTCTCCCTTCTTCCTTTGCCTTGGTCAGAGGGTCTGAGCTGGAGTATATCCTCTATATCCTGAGCCTCCTTGGGGACAACAGGTCCAGCCAGCTCTCTTAAGATTCTGTGATTGTCACCTCGAGAGAAGAGGGCAATTTCGGCCTCTCCCCTGCCTCGGCCTGGCCTCCTAACCAGTCTGTCGTCATTTCACTCCGCTCTTTGTCCCTACCCCTAAATAAAGCAAGCAGTTCTCAAGTTTCTCTCTTTATTAAGTCTACCCCCAGCCAGGGGAAGGGGGACAGACCATGGTTAACTGTGACACCACCCCCCACCCTAGGACACGCGGAATCTCTTCTGCCTATGCCCTCACCCCTCCCCTGCCCAATAAATAAAAAGGGGACCAGGAAGTACAGGGTGAGGGAGAGGAGGGAAGAGGATGCCCCAGGGGCAGGTGTCGGGGGTGAGCTGGGGAGAATAAATAAACCATGGATCCCATGGTAGGGTGAGGAAGGACCTCGTGCTGGCACGAGGCGGGGCAGGCGAGGGGCTGAGTCCCCTTGCTCTAGGCAGGAGCAGGGGGAGAACCTGCCTGCAGTCTGGAGCCCAGCTTTGCGGGGCAGGTGCAGTCCCCAGCGGCAGCCTCCTGGCCAAGCCTGCCCTGGTCAAGTCCTGCCACAAAGGCCTGAGAGTTCTGTTGCCAGGACCACCATCTCCTCTCCTCCTCCCCCACAGTGGAAGCTGCCCACGCTGGGCCAGGCAGGGAGCCCTCCGAGCCCACTCTGGCAAGGCCAGGGGTAGGTGCGCGTCTCTCTAGGCCCCTGGGTAGGAGAGGGGATGGAGGGACTGATAGCTCTGGATTTAGCTCCTCCCCTTCTAGGGGATCTCTAGCTCTGACCCCCGCTGGTGGCCACCTGGGGTGTAAGCCGTTGGAGGGGTGCCTCTTTGGCCCCTTGGGTCCCCTGTAACCGGCGTAGCCGTAGCTCCTCCAGGCCTTGCCATAGCTCCTGACGCTCCCGGGCCTTCTGCTGCTCCCTGAGGAGAGAGGGCGAGGCAGCTCCCCTACCCGAGCCCACCCACCGTCCAGCCTCGCTCACCACCACCCAACTATGAAGGGACTTTACGGGACCTTCCACTTAGGGAAGAGAGCGCTGGGAAACAGGCCCCAGCCTGTGGTCATGGAGCTGAAGGGGAGGAAGCTCCAGACCTGGGAGACGACTTGGGAACAGGACTGGAGGCTGCACTGGGGAGCTGGGCGTGGACGGCCCAGCAGGAACACAGAGACTAAACACTGATCACACAGGCTGTGGGGCCGTCCTCCTAGGCTCCTTCCAACCACAGGAGCCGGCTCCATCCCGCTTTTTCCCTCTCCCCCCACGTGCAGCCAAACACTCACTGCTGCTTTTCTAGCTTGTAGGAGGCTGTGAGCTCATCAAACAGCTTTCCGTTCATCTCCATGAACGTCTTGAGCACGTTGTAGATCAGAGACACGATGGTTCTTGGCAGGGTCCGGGGAGGGGTGAGGAAATGGGGACAGCTCAGTTTGGCACCATCTCCCTCCCTAGCACTCTGCCTACCTGTTCCCCAAACACACACGCGGCTCTGAACAGCTCTGCTCTCAGCCTGCCCCTTTCCCCAGCCCCGACCCTCCCGGGTCTGGACCGGCCGGCCCTGGACCCAGCTTCTGTGGGTTAGGTCAAGGCCTAGGCACTCACTGATTCCAGTGTTCCTTAGAGACTTGGTAGAGGGTCCCAAACACAGCAGGCAGCACAGTGTGGCAGTTGTCCTCAATGAGGCTCAGGATATACTCATTGTTCCAGAAGTACAGAGCCCGCTCTGCAACCTGGGACAGCAAGGTGGCAGAGTGGGCGCCTGGCAGTGGCTTCCCTGCAGGTGCAAGGCCTGGTATCTTCCTCTACCCACCAAACCCAGGGTGCCCCACCCTCCACACACCCAAGGGCTCATCTGACCCACTGGAGAAGACAATATAGTGAAGACAAAAGAGCACTGGATTTGGAGTCCACCGCTCAGGTTGAATCCTAGTTCTGCTACACACTGGACAGATGACCTAGGGTGAGGCCTTTAACCTCTCAGCTTCAGTCTTTTAAGCTGTAAAATGGGGCTATTAACAGCTCTCTCCCCAGGGCTGTTGTAAGAATCAAACGAGGTCTTTAATAAACTTCAATGCCAGACTCCCTGTGAGGAAGACTTGACTTTCACCAGGTTAAGGCACAGACGAATGGGCGAAAGTCTGCACACACGTGCAGGAAAATAGCAATTCCAACCAGCCTGAGGAAGTGGGACTGCCTGGCTGGGCGCTGGAGTGGGACTCCTGACATCAAAAGCCACCAAGAGGGGAGCGGGGATAACACGCCATTTTGGAGCACACTTGAGTTTACCAGATAGGTTGGCACTACACTCTCCTTAGTCCTCATCACTACCTTGTGAAGAGACTACTGTGGTCCACTCCACAGATGAGGAAGTGTCATCAGATTCGAGTGGCAAATGACGGCCTGGGACCTTTAGCCCGTGGGGTTAAAGGGCTGAGGCCTGACCCTAGGTCTCCCGACCTGAAGTCCAGTTATCTCCCCGTTATCAGACCCTGGTGGGTCCAGAGGAGAAACTGAGGTTGGAGGGAGCTGTGTTAGGTCAACTGGCCAGCCCTCCTAGTCCATATCCCGGATCCCACCCCTACCTGTTCCCACCCCATACCTGGAAATGGGGGCTGGACACACAGCGGGCCACCTGCTTGAAGAGGGGCTCCTGGATCTTCACAAACTGGGAGGGCTCAATGACATCAAGAATCTCTTCCATCTCCCCCAAAAACATCACCTGGGGTTCGGGACACAGGAGATCGCAGTTCCCATCTCCCCCCACCCACATGTGACCACCCTCCGGAACCGGGGCCCCCCAAGCCCCCTCTGGGGGACATCAGAGCCCTTCCTCATACCTCTTTCTGCGTACAGGTCTTTGGCCAGTATTTGAGCAGCCCCCGGATCACCTGTGGGAGTTGAGGCAGGAGAGTCAGACCTGCAGGGGTGCGGCCTGCCTTTCCCCCCAGAGGTACTCACGTGCTCTGTCAAGGTGGCATCCTTCTCCAGGAACTGCACCACACAGTATGCCAGCTGAGGTGGGGGGGATTGGGGGGAGAAAGACGACTGGGGTCAGGAAGGGACTGTGACCGTACGCCAGATGTTTGCTCCCTTACCTAGTCTCCTCTCTCATTCACCAAGCATTTACCGACTGACTACCTAGATTGGGCCAAGCACCATGCTCTGTGTGCGGGGACACAACCATGTCCTTCCAGAGGGAAGAGGCACCAAGATAGCCCTTATAAATTTCACAAAAGTTTCCATAATTGAAATCTACATCATAATCTATGGGAATATGGAAAGAGAAGAATTTAATCCTGCCTAGAGCAGGTTGGGAGGGAAAGGACTGGGAAGGCTGCACAAAGCTGATGTCTAACATCAGCTTTAAAGTGTCGTGGAAATTCTCTATGGTAGACGGAACAGAATTGGCAAAGAAAAAGGTGAGGGAAGGTCCCAGTAGTTCATGACTTAGTGTGGGCGGAGCGGAGTGTCGGGCTGACCCCACGGCTGCCCTGACTCTGCCAGGATCTCTCTCCTGTGGCAGGGCCAGGCCTGGGCCTTACCTGGGCGTGAAACACGGAGAGTGACTTGACAGAGTGTAGGGGAATCAGGACCCGGACCAGGAACTGCTTGTGCTCGGTCTTCAAGGGCAGCGCAAAGCCATTGATGATGCTGTGGCGGGGGAAGAAGAGAGGGGGAGGGCTCAGATGACCCGGCCTCTGTCTTTCCTCCCAGATTCCTAAGGCTCCAGCCAAGGCCCAGAGAGTCACCTTCCTAAGATCTCCAGCAGCTCGGCCACACCATTGAAGTGCTCGAGTTCATAGATGAACCTGTGAGAAGAAGGGAAGGTTGCGGAAGGGTTCAGAGCAATTAGAATCGGCCTAGCGCCCCCCTCAGCCGTCGTGCCTGCCGCCCCCACCCTGCACACTAATCTGACTGTCTCCCAACCCAGAGGCTGTGCTCCCTTCCCAAACCAGGCCCCACTGAAATCCACACCCACCTCTGAATCACCCTCCTCAGCCCAGGCACTGGTGCTCAAACCTCTCTTCTATGAGGCATTCCAACTTGTCTCTTTCTCCCCCAGACCCTAACTCTCATTTTCGGGACCCCATCCAGTCAGCAGGCCCCTAGCTTGCATCCTTCGCTTTCATGCCTTTCAACCGAAAGAATGACAAACACTTAAAGAGTGTCTACTCTGTGCTACATACTTCTCAAAATTATCCTGTGAGATAGGGTTTATTAGATCCATTATATAGATGAAGAAATCGAGGCTCAGCAGTTCAATAACTCCTGCCCCAAAGTTAATAAGCCGGGGATCTGATGGACCCGGAGCTCCTGGAGGACAGGCACCGGGTCTCGGCTATTTTGTAGCCAATACTGTAAGAGCTAATGTTTCAGATTCCCAGCCTTGGCCAAAGAGCTACATCCTGTGTGCTTTGAAGACATTGTCTCATTTCGCCCTGATGACCATCCCTGGGTGAGTAGAGCTATCATTCCATTTTAGAGATGAGAGAACTTAAATAATGTGCCCACGTTCACCTAAACATTTGAACCAAACTCAGGCCACTGAGCTCCAAAGCCAATCTCAACTACAAGGCCATGTGGGCCCCTATCCCCACTGGGCACTGTTGCTCAATCCACGTTTGCAGAAACAATCTCTTTACTTGGGTCTTTATGGCTTGGCCACAATAAAGGTCAGAAGATTTGATCCTAGGCTCCCAGGACTGACCTAGTCCCTGCAAACCAATTCATCTCCCTCAGTCTATATTTCCTCATCTGTAAAATGGAAATAAATACCCTTTCCCTGCTGACCTCACGGGAGACTCTGCCTCCCTCTTCTCCCCTGTAGCTCTCCCCTCCCTCCCCAGGTCTCAGCTGGGCAGGCAGCAGGCACCCACCGGAGGAAGATGTGGCTGCACTGTTTGCGGATGTAGGCCCGGAGCCCCAGGAACTTGCCATAGACCCTGTGCAGGATGGTCTTGAGGTACTCGCGCTCCCGGGGGTCCTCACTATCAAATAGCTCCAGGAGCTAGGGGACCCAGGGTCAGGGATCAGGGGGGAGCCCAAGCCCAGGCTGCTTCCATCCTATCCCCACACCCCTCAGAGAGCCTGCCCCTGTCCCATGGCACCACCCAGCCTGGGCTCCCCACTT